ATTCTGTCCTGTAGTAAGAAAGAAGACAAGGAACAGAAAGAATGGCATTCAGACGTGAATGCAGACAGATGGAGCAGCTGGTGAGTTATGGAAGGCCGGGCTGACCTTCTGCTGCCTAATGGAGACTAGAGGGTCTCTGCAAGGACGCAGTATGTCTGAGGGCCCGAGTTAGATTGGGAAGGTGAAACAGCAGACACGGGCACCAGGGGATACGAAAGAGAGAGAGAGAGCAGTGACTGTGTTTATGTTGCTGGTGTCCCAGCTGGCAGTAATTCAGCAGTCTGTTAGGTTGCTGTGAGATGATAGGAAGCCACAGGACAGTGTGCGTCATGGATCATACCCTATCACAATCTACAGGATGATGATGATAAACTTTAATTTCGGACATGTAAAGCAAAAAAACGAATAAATACACATATACATTCATTTACTCACACACATACATATGTGCACAAACAAAATCAACATAACATGAAATACCAACTCAATCATCATGTCTGAAATAGAACAGGAAGAAGTCTGTACCTGTGTATTAATCCCTACGCGTGCTCAACACTCTCATCCCCACAGCTTGACAGAAAATGTGGTCCATAAAAGTACTGAAGGAAAAATACAAAGTCAAAAAGGTGAATATCTAGAGTGGTAAATTGTCCAACAATTAGAACGTGTTCTCGTTGTAAGGTGCAGAACGCTGAAAGCATTTCGGGGCACATTGCGGTTCTCCACTTGTTCTGTTGACTCTGAAAAGGATCAAAGCAAAGTTAGAGAAGGAAACACTTCAACAATTAAATTCACTCAAGTGTTGCCATCAGTCGTCTTCTTCTGTTGATATTCTTAGAGCTAAAAGATTTTCCTGACGTCCCACTGTGGGCACCGCGTGCTCCAAAGACCACAAGTACTCATTTACACTGTTGGTTTGTCTGTGTTGTGTTGTTTTTAGTTAATTAACTGATCAGATACCAGAAACACGTCTTCAAGTTATTTATTTCACTGTTAATGTGGAGAGCTAAAGATAAAGATACCTAATGATCATCATCCTATCATTGTTATTATGACGTATATTTTGACACTTTATGAAGCAGTACTTTTTGTGCTTTCATTACACAGTAATAAATATTTCCTGAGGCGGATAAATATTACAAAGATTTTAGCAGAGATCCAAAACAAATGAAGTCTTTCTTCTGCACCAGAAATCTTTTAATATGAAAGAACGAGTTTGATTTGTTTGCAGAGTGCAGGTACTTGTCTTATTTGATAATATAAAAGGCAGGAAAATTAGCTTTCCAGAAACCTGTGGGTCTGCCAGCTGGTGCGTGGCTTCATGCTGAGTAAGGAAGCAGGAGCGTGTTTGGCGATGTACCGATGTTTCAGGAAATGCAAAAAACATGATTAATGATATTAAATCCTTAAGGCTGCTTAGTCCCATTCACATTAAACTTTGTTGGCCCCACTTCGACCTTTTTCATCCTTTCTTTGATGTGCACGCTTGACTTTGTTGTGTAATTAAATGCTTCAAATCAGTCTCAGAGTGATGAATATAATGGGGATTGAAACAAGTCCCACTTGAAGAGCAGCAGAGCAAACAAAGCAGGAAACAGCTGACACAAACATGAGGGATTTCACTTTTAGCAAAAAGCTGGAACACGTGGCTGTCATTGTTTAAATTTAATTACGAAAAAACGTTTGCATATTTTAATATGTCGATTTGTAGGCAACTAATCGATTTTGTGACCTCAGTAAAGAAGGCATGCAGAGTTGAGATGACAAAGATGATTTCTTCATCCTCTGTCTCTCTTCCACAGCATGTCTTTTATCCTGTCTTCCTTCTCTCACCCCAACCGGTCGCAGCAGATGGCCGCCCCTCCCTGAGCCTGGTTCTGCCGGAGGTTTCTTCCTGTTAAAAGGGAGTTTTTCCTTCCCACTGTCGCCAAAGTGCTTGCTCATAGGGGGTCATATGATTGTTGGGCTTTTCTCTGTATCTATGAAGCGCCTTGAGGCGACATTTGTTGTGATTTGGCGCTATATAAATAAAATTGAATTGAATTGAATTGAATTGAATTTTACATTTTTATTGAAGATTTTCCACGAACACTTTCTGAGATATTGTGTTAAGAGCAAATGCCATATATCTAGTTGTATTTCAGAGGCAGTAGCCTTACAGAAGAATTATTATCCCCCCAAAAAAGCTAAGGTGTGGCAGCAAAGCCACCCACAGATGGTCCCTCTGCTTGTGTAAAATTACATACTCAAATGCATCTCTGGTATATAACTTGTTTTAATTTCATGCATTGGTGAATTTGGTTAATGTACAGTATAAAAATATAATCTCTAACCAACCGCCCAAGTTACCCAAATTAATATCGCAGGAAAAAAAACGACCTGTTGCGATAGCAGCAGTTAAAGTGAGTGTAGTTCTGCAGCAAAGTGTTCATAGACTGGTGGAGCTCATAGCTTCGTTAGCATTGTGCCACCTCAGCGCTGACAGGCATGGAGCTACTTTTATTGCCATCCTCATTAAGCACTCAGTCTCTGCCAGCCAAAAACCTCAAGCCTTGAGCCCCACCCCAAAACTTGTGTGTGCCAGGATGCCGGTGGGTTCATACCCACATATTCATGAACAAAAAGCTGTACATACATATATATATGTGTGTGTGTGTGTGTGTGTGTGTGTGTGTGTATTAGAGCTGTGTCTGCCTGTGTAATTTAGCATAACCACTGACTTTGGCTTCAGCATTTACCAGAACATTGACCACACAGCTCAATTCTCCTCCAGTAAAGAAAAGAAAATGAAACCCTTCTATTTCATCTCATATTCACATTTTTTTTCTTCTGAAGTGTGTTGCCTGTGTTTACTTGTGATAATCAACAAAAAAGCTGGTTCCCATAAGTTCAATCTTGTGTGTTTTCTCCACAGTTAAAATTACACTCTGGATAAGGTCTGGTTATGGTTTAGTCATGCTGTGGTGATGTTCTACAAGTCACGTGAGCCATTTAAATCTTTCACGGCACAGACTGAGCAAAAGGTTTTTGAGCAAATGTGGTAAGCTCAAAGAGAAAGTTAGTATTCTTTAGGTGATGGGCACCAACCGACTTTGAGCATGCAGTGATTAAAACTGCTGCTTCCCATTGATGAGTTTGACAGTTGTTGGTTACGTTTTTTTAATCATGATGCACAGAGCCGGACTCTGTGGTTGGCCTGTGGTGCAGCCCAAGGTTCGAGCATGTTACTGCATAAGAAGGGGAGACTGATGAGCCAGTGCGTGACAGCTGTGCCAATCAACCCACCCTGACTCCTCTCCCTGAACCATCCTGCCCTACCTCTCCCTCCTGCAGCTGAGTCAAACCACACTTTTAGAAAGATTCAAGAGGTCAAAGTATTCAGCAGTCTTAGAGGAAAAAACGGGGCAAAAATGATCTTTTCTTAATACCCAGTTTAGAAACCACTGATGTCGATCAGCTTCCTGCTGCACGGTTTGATTCACCACAGTGAGGTTTGATACTGAGGAAGATGGAGGAAAACCACTCAACATCAGTGGATTGAATTTGCCATAGCTTTTTCTTTCTTTCTTTCTTTTTTTTACCAAGCAGCCTGTGCTGTGGTCTTAAACAGTGAATGGCTTATCCAAAGGTCAGCCACTACCGATGCATAGAAACGAAGTATGCGACATATTAATTCATGCTCACGTGCACCATTTTCCATCTGGATGGAAGAACGTCAGGCTTTTAAACACCCCATAGAGCGGCTTTCTTAATTCTTCTGCCAGTGTTTTCATCAGAACTGATAAACATGAGTAACTTAGTAGGTTGGATCAATCAATTCATTCCATGAGACTGATTTATTGATTTATAAGAATCAATTAAACTGTTACTTAGTGGCCTGAGGCCTCTACTAACAAAGTTAACTCGGAGTTTTTTGGGGTGTTAAACTTACTCAACACTTTATTATCCCAATGCTGTGTTAGCGCTGGAATATACATAATGACATAATGTTACACTTGCAGGACTTTCACTTTTCACAGTGCGATGTAGTAAAATAAAATATAAAAAGACTGTAAAACTATAATTGTATATTTTGTCTGTCCGACCCAAAATTATCTGAGATGAAATACACAAATATGTATAAATTACCATAAATTTTAATGATTCCCAAAAAGGGATACAGCCAGCCTCCCGGGGCACAGTAATAGACCAGCAGAAAGTGATACATAAGGAGGAAACTGAAGAATACTTTGAAATCAAAGGCTCAAAGCCGAGGTGATCTAAGTGGTCAGAGCTTTGAATGTTGTTGCCATATATCACCTCTGGACTCTGCACTTTGCTTTGAGAACTTCTGCAAATGTATTCTAGGGAAGAATTTTCCATGACTGCAGCCATCTTTCTCCTTCTAAGTCACCATTTACTTTTCTTATCCTCCCACACACATATTGTATTTGAAGATACCCGTGGCTGCTAGAGGCCCGCTGAAGCAATTATTGCTTTATTTATTTATGACAGAAGTCGTAGATTAACTTTTGAATCCTTCGCACCATTTACAGCATTTAAAAGTCAGCTGAAAAGGAAAAAAAGTCAAGCTTTTTCTCGACTTTCTTTACTAATGCGTCTTACTTTCCACTGTATCAAATTTCCATCTCTCACTAGCTTCTCCTACAAACTCAGCTTCAGTCACATTCCCTTGTAATATCCATCTGTAACCTTGTTTCCCCTCCACCTTTACTTTATTTGTTTCCCATTTTTAGTATTGTGGACTCCGGGCAGTTTCTGTTATTAGTTTCTTCCAATTAGGGTAATCTGGAATAGTTTAATAGCATTATAACGGTGTTTGCACTTGTCCCTAGAGCCAAAGCTGACAGCTTTACATAAATATGTGCGGCCTCCTAGGTTCAACATCTGTTTAGATTTCTCTTTTGTTGCACATTGCACACTATCAAAACATGACCACTGTGAAAGTAAGCATGCATCATTATGGTAAATTTAGAATATCTCCTTTTTTGTGTCCGCAGGCTCACTTGCGCTCGGTGGACGTTAAGATCCTGCAACAGCTGCTGGCGGTGCACGAGGGCATCGAAGCAGTGAAATGGCTGTTTGAGGAGCGCAGCACACTGACCAGCCGCTGCAGCAGCCTCACCAGCAGCCAGTACAGCCTGGGGGAGGGACCCGACACCTCTTGGAGAGGCTCCTGGAGCAGCTTACAGGACCCCAATGACAAGCTAGACAACATCTCCATTGGCAGCTACCTGGACACGCTGGCAGACGACATGGATGAGTACTGCCCTTCCAGCTCCGAATCCGTCATCTGCTCCACCACACCCCTAGTTTCGGAGGCTACTGCTGGGGGCCGCATGGCAGGAGGCTCCGTGGCCACAGCCACTGCAGCGGTGTCAGGGCCCGTGTTAGGGCTGAAGTCTGGGTCTAGTGCTGTGGGAAGTGAGAATGGTACTGGGGTTGGAATTATTCCAGAAGTGAAAGGTGGACCTGGGAATGTTGCCATTGGGAAGGGAACTGGAGGAACTGAAAGTGGGAAGCCAGCAACTCCCAGCAGCTCTCCACAAGCCAAGTCTGAGGGCCTCAAGCAAGGTGCTCCTATCTGGACCAAGACTGCAGAGACAGATAAGGGAAGCCCCATGTTTAAGGTCAGTACTCCAACGCAAGGCCTTAAAGCTAATGGTGTCCTGGAGAAATCAACCACACAAAGAGGCAGCCCGACCCGCACCTGTCTCAGTGAGAAACTGGCAACCGGCCAGAGCCCCAAAGTTAAACCTTACAAAAATGGAAAGATTGACTTGGACACGTGCAAAATGAATGGCAAAATGCATCTGGAGTACGACGCCCACTGGCGCTGGGTGCAGTCGCAAGAAGATGTGACGTTTTTATAAGAAGTATAATCACAGAGAGGGACTAAAGCCACTATATACACTCCCTCTGCAACATCAAAACCCAGATCACTGAAGATTAAAAGAAGAGTGCACTGCTGTTGTGAAAGGCACATAATGGGGCTTTCACCGGTGAAAGACACTGGGTATTACCTGTTTCTTCTTTTGTTCCCTCCTGTAACTGCACTAACTTCCTATAAAACATTGATGTCAGTATTAAGGGATTTTGGACCATATATAGCCAAACAGGGGTGCCTCACAAAATCAACTTTAAAATCCTGTGTCACAGATTTTCCTCAGGGTCTTTTTAACAATCCCTGATATTATTTCAGTTTCTTTTCTTTTACGTTATTTTGTTTTCCTGAAAAATAAAGCACAGTGAGACGATCTGCCAGAGAGCTGAAACATGACTTCAGATGGTTTGACACGTACTTTATCGGCAAGTCAAAATTGAAACTTTGCCTTGACTTTGACTTTTTAAAAATAATCTAGGAACAATATTGCCACCAATATATTAATTCTGAACCTTTACAAAAACTAGTTATTATTAGTTACTTTGTATAATCAATTTAACATTTTGTGGATTCTGTATGAAAGTAATTCCCAACTTTTTATCTTTTATCCTCTTCAAATGAAAGATTATTCAGTTATGGTGATAGTTTCTGGGTAATAAGGTAAATGTAGCTATGCCAGACGACAAAAAATGTACTCCTGGACTAGTTTGTAGAGGTATTAGAGCAGAAGATATAATGCAATATATAGACAAAAGTATCGGGCCATAGTCTCTTAATCCTTCAGGTGTTTTTAGTTTCATTGTTCTAACTCTATAACATCAAGCACCTAACCATGCAGTCTTCCTTTACAAACATTTGTGAAAGAGTGAGTTGTTCTAAGGAATTCAAGCATGGTACTGTAACAGGATACCACTGTACCACTGTTGCAATACGTCAGGTTGTAACACGAAAGTGTTTGGGAACCACAGCAACACAGCCTCAAAGTGGTAGACCACATAAAGTTACCAACTGCTAAAAGTGCACCTGGTATAAAAGTCACCAATGCTCATCTGACTCAGCAGTTGCAGACTTTCAAACCTCCTGTGATATTAACATCAGCACAACATCTGTGTGCCAGAAGCTTCATGGCATCATTTCAATGGCTGAGCAGCTCCTGTTGGTGTAATGTGTGGGTGGGCCGGTACTTTTGCCAATATTGTGTGTATTTCACAAATCAAAAGCAAATGTGTGATGAGAAATAACCAAAAGCTTTGTGTATTTAACTCTTTTGTTTCTTCTGAGTTCTTCAAATTTACCTCAGGGCCCATTTGAAGGTGCCTGACCCTGAGGTTGGGAATGACTACCGCACTCCACAAACAACAGCTTTTATGAACCCCAGTGTACTGCATATAAGATAGTAGTAGAGTCCGTTCTCACTCCCGACGCATAATATACTGATGATTTGTCACGTCCCGAGGCGTTTCATGGAAACGCAAAAGGTGACCTTCCGCGTTTCTAAGCTACGCGCCAGATTGTGCGATTTAAACAAAATAAACATACATATGTAGAGTCATTCCAGACAGTTCTCATGTTTTCCAAACTCATAATATAGGGACGTGTTGGGCGGCCGAAAGCATAATATACTGATGATTTGTCACCTAGTGTTACGTTTTGGGAGTGAGAACGTGTTGAGCAGTAATAGTGTAAAATCAACCTCTCATTGAAATCCTAAATAAAGATTGCTATATTGATCCTTGTTTATTGATAATATATCACTACTCTTCCAGTGGTTAATGACCGCCTTATTGTTTCAACAAAAAAATAGAGAAACAATATGATTTTCTCCCCAACTGTTTATCCCCAAACACTTTCCTGATCAGCACTAGAAAATATGTCAAACTTGCAATAGAAAATGAAGCACTGAGATAAAAGTTTAACACATTAAAAAACAAAAAAGTGCCAGTGATAGCATTTGTGTCCTTGTGAAGCTAATCCCTTCAGTGCGTTACCAAACATGTGCACAATTGTATAGTCACTGAGTTGTAGTACAGCTACCAGTGCACTGGTTACTAGTCGTGTCTGGTTATAGGCAAATCTTGACTTTGGATGAAAATCTTTCTTCTGTTTTGACAATTATGCTAACCTGTATTAGTTTTCTTTAAAGCAAATGTTGTGCCTGATTGGTGTAAACCTTCGCTACATATGCCTGTTTGTTCCCTGAGATGACTGCACTGTTGTGATGATAATCTTTTATTAGTTTTGCCTCTCCGTGGGCTTTGCTTGCGTGTACAAATAGCTAGACCAAAAGCCTGTGTGCTATTCAGTATCGACTGGTAAACGTGTTATGTTGGCTGGGTGGATATTGCTTGCCCTGTGCTGACATCTTTATTGGTTGATTTGTGAGCAGTACGCAGAAGACTGAACACAATCAGTGAAGAAAAGCAATATTTCCTGAAGGCTGTCTGCTGGCTTACATAAGCAGCCTCTTCTCAGCAACTGAAATTTAATAATACTGTCTGATCTTCAATAGATGACAGTGCTACTGATGAAGGAATTGTTCCGTTTTTTTTATGTGCATGTGCGAGAGAAAGACACAGCCGGCCTCCCAGGTATGAATAAGAATAGATGAGTCCCAAAGGATCGCAGATTTTTTCAGCTTACCCATCACAATGTAACTACATCACTCACCAGTCTGCAGTTATTCATGTTAATGGTGCAGGGATGGTGCAACACATGTGGTAAATGGAGGGGAACATATTACATAATCTGTCCAGTTTCTTTCAGTGCCTGGAAGTGTTTGAAACTATTAAATATGAGTGTTGATAAAATATGAGCTTTGATACTGGTTCCAACACAAATGGGCCTTTTTCATACTTTCTGCACATTTCAGTCATTTTGGTTCCATAACAATCAGTGTTGGTCAAGTTACTTGAAAAAAGTAATCAGTAACTAATTACTGATTACTTCCCCCAAAAAGTAATCCCGTTACTTTACTGATTACTTATTTTCAAAAGTAATTAATTATTTAGTTACTTAGTTACTTAGTTACTTTTTAAAAACACAATTTACAACCTCCTTTTGCTCTATTTTCACCTGTAAAGCAGGAGTAGGGTAGGCGGAGGTTTACCCTGATGCAGGTGTGCCGCAGCGGTCAGTGGAAGAATCCGCGAGTTTCCCTGTGAGTTTCCCATTACTTCATAGCGCAATCGGTGCTTGCTTGGAAGTTTAGGGGGATTTTTTCGCTGTAAAAAGAAGTTTTCTTTCCACGCACAACGGACACTAATGTTTTTGTCACTTTTTATGGAATCAAACTCAAAGTAAGGTCAGTACTTCCATGCTTTAAACGCTGCACGCTCATACTCTCTCCTGCACTCGATATGTTATCCATTGTTGATCTGCACACAGCTGTTGTCACAAACGTCGCACTCGCTTACGTCACTGTCATCAGACATTCTCGCAAAAAATCACGGTTTTAGTAACGCAGTAACGCAGCGTTCCTACAGGAAAGTAACGGTAATCTAATTACCGTTTTTGCAATAGTAATCCCTTACTTTACTCGTTACTTGAAAAAAGTAATAGGATTACATTAAATGTTATGTTGTTATCAGAGATGGGCAGTAACGCGTTACTGCCCATCTCTGATAACAACATAACATTTCATTTTTCTTTGAAACAACCAGATGACTATTCACGCAGCCATTTCGTGTCTGAATGGTCACAGATTCTATTTTCACATGCCACATATGCAGTTTGGGGCTCAGATACACGAGAGTTAGCTTCTCATTTCACTATTGCTAGCTATAAAATTTTTCTTCACTGACCATAACACTATGACTTATTTATTTTGGAAAAAATATTAAGTAAGGAGGAGTTTAAAAATGCACATAGGAAGCTACATAAAGGCTCAGTTGCACAGGCCTCAAGCCTGGTCAGCTCCTGCTAACTACCAGAGGAATCAGCAATTCCTCTGGTAGTTAGCAGGCTCCTGCAGTTGTCCATGGTTTGTATGGAAGACACAGACTGGTCTGCAGTTAGTTACTTAACCACCAGTGGTAGGGAAACTAAAAAGTGCCATGGAGCCAGGAAACTGAGAATGCTCACCTTCAAAATAAAAGCTTTGCCTTATCGCCGAAACCAACATGTGACAAAAGGGGCAACTTTTACTTTGGAGGTGAACAGTATTGTGTGTGTTGCACTGTTCAGTACTGCTCAGCAAGCAGCAAGTGTTTGCAGACAAGTTGGCATTTCACATGCAAATTAGAGGTAACCATGGCGGTCTGCATGTGACCAAAGTAATCGCAAGGTTTTAAATGCAGCAGCATGTGTCTCTTTGCAACCAATTTAAAAGCAACATCAAGCAACCTTGTTCAACCATTTGTCAAACAGTCAGGCTATAGACTTTATATTCCGATGACCCGAGGAACTAGCCGGGCTCTAGACCTGCGTAAGTGCAAATTTAGCAATAAATGTTACTATGAAACGCCCATTTTTCTTGGTTGTCAGCAAGTGGTCTGTAGGCCTGTGTTACTGAGGCCTTGGATAATATTGGCTGTAGATGCTGGAGGCAAAATTTCATGATTAACTGTCACAGGATAATAATAAAGAGTAAACGTGCAAGTTGTGACCTGAGCTTTTGTACGTAACCTGCTGCCAGTCAGTGTCACTTTAGCTAGATAGGACAAGTTTGCTTTCTGGTAGAAGCTCTATTTTCGTTGACATAACTTAGAAAAGACAGATTCTAGATTAATGAAATGATATGTGATAAAATTGTCTATCTGGCTCAAATCTTGGATACAAAATTCTCCCAAGTGTACTATTAGAAAAGAGAATGTGATGACTTAGCGTCAATTACCTCCATCCTAATTTATTCATGTTCTTAAACTCAACAGCTCCATTTGTTTTAGCCACTGAAGTGTTTCCTCTTTCCTCCTGCTTTTCTTTTCGTCCTACTTTCCACCACCACACTGGTTTCATGGAAATGTTCAGTCAGTGCCAACACACATCATGCGCACACAATGCCTTCTCACTGAAGACAGCACCATACAGCCGGCATTACAGACGCAGTGACTGTAGGCTAGTCCTTGAGGCTAGGGAGGAAAAGTGAGATGAAGCTCAACCTTGAACTGACTGTGAAGATGTTAAAAATCCCATCTTTTTTATCCCTAAAGCCAAGCAGAGCATCTCTCCATCCCAGGATAGTTACTTCAACCATGGTATATCCTCCAACCACAGTATAGACATGAAGTCATTTGAAACCATTTCCCTTTTTAACATATGCTGGCTGTAAAGCTATGCAACATGCCAAAAAAATGTCTGCTCCGCCAGTTTGTGGTTTTCTTTCCAAATTAGCGGAGGCATATGGAAAAAAAAACTACGTTTAGTTCAGGGAATGAGCCTGTAAAACACATTATATGAAGCTATAGTGTGTCTTTCTGAAGTTATACTCTGTCCCCTAATGGTTTAATGTGTTTTCACTGGGCACAGTTGGAACATTTGGAAAATGGACGATGTTTTAAACCTCTCCTTGGCAGAGAGTGTTGACAGTTTAGGTGCCAGGGGGAGCTGCTTGTGATCTGACTGTTTTTTAAAGTGATATGATAACTGCTGTGTGCATTAGCAACAATGGAAGTGTTACTAAGTTCTGAGAATCTTGTGAAAAATACTTTTAATGTAGAATGAGAGAAATGTCCTCTTTCTTTCTAGAACTTTTCATAGGGTATGACGGTGAACATCACTGGGCAGATCGTAAATCCTTCTCTTCTGCTCTCTCTGTGTCCAAGATTTATCAGATGGCCGGTGCGTGACGTGTTTGCATTGGCTTCAGGTGCTTTTGGCTTCAGAATACCTCCTCTGGCTATTCTGGGTGCAAGACAAACAGTGTGATTACATAGACGAGCGGATACCCACACGAACATGGTTGCCATGACAATGAGGCCAAGCAGGCTTGAGCTCTAGTGGCTACATAAAACAATGTTTACTGCAGTGCCAGTAACAGCATAGCAGTACAGTCTAAATGAATGCAGGTGAGATGAAATCTGTGATAAATGCAGACAGCAGACATCCAAATTATTTGACCATTATACGTAAGGTCAGTTCATAAAAAAAGTATCAAATGTTGTTAGTAACAATATAAAAGATTTTTTAAAATATGATACTTTGTAAGTGATTCTGTTTTAGAACTCATTTGTAATCCAGTCTGTCGAGTACCAGTGACAGATTACATGTGACACATGTTGGCAAAAATAAAATTCAGTATCACCCATTCATTGCTCTTCTATTACTTTAAAAATGATAAGAATTCTGCATTTTGGGGGGAATGCTGCAGAGGAAATCGCTCATTTCTTCTTCTTTTTTGACACTTCCTGCTTCACCCTTGGTATAAAGCTCAGCTATCCTCTCTTTCAGCCACCTAAAATTCTCCCAAGAGGCCTTTTGCTGCCATTTTTTACCCATTTTTGAAAAGTGAGAAGGCAAACTGGTGTGTCTCTCTGGAGGCAGAGTCAGGGGATAAACAGTGAGCCGAGTGCACAGCGTGCAGCTAAAAGGAAGCTTCCACTCCCAGAGTCCTGCTGTTTTCTTCCTTCCTCTTATGCATACACAACACCCAAGCACAATTTATCCTGGGACTGATATGGGTCTCTAGATAGCTGACAGCATTTCCTTCTTTTAAGGTTCTTTTATATTTTATTCTCATGTTTCTGTGTATTTGTTCACATCTCAGAATGTTCAAAGTAAATGGAAGGGAACTGAATCAAACCCTGCTGGGTGCATGCTGGGTGCTGACCCAGGTCCAAAACCTAACTTAGGCTAAACAAAATCTAGAGGATTAAAAGACAAAGGCCAGAGAGACTGACTGCAGTTCAGCTGAATCAATAAAGTTAAGCTTTATTTTGTTATGCAATATGCCTTCTAGAAAAAATGTTTGTCTTTTTTTCCTTGTAAAGTCAAAATGTTCAAAAATTAACGGATTATGTTCATTGATGTGGGCGATATATATTATGAAGTATGTAAATTATACGAGTGTGTCTAATAATTAAAGCTATTTTAAAGGTTTGGTTCGTGCTATCATTGCATTTTATTTAGAGCCTTTTGTAGATCACAGTCATATAACGCTGTTTTCCCTGAACACTCATTTGGGATCAATTTGAGAAAACTTTTCAGTTCAGATTCCACCAATGAGAGCAAACTAACTGGAAATTCAACACCAGAATCTCCCTGATTAGCTGCTATTTCAGCTTAATGTAAACTACTGAGTGCTTTCAATAATGGATTCCTGATCAATATTTAGCCCGATCAATGAGTGCAGCGAAGATCCATTAGCACTCAAAGCATTCATGGACTCCATTCTCAAGAATGTCATCGACCACAATACTGGTATCCATGAAACCACCAATACTTAATATATGCATAGCTCTGTAGATGCACTGATATGTAACACACAAGAGAATCTTAGACATTTCCGCTTCACCTAAATACCAACAGAAGATACCTGCATTTGAAGAGCGAAGTTCATTACTACATTAGACTGTGATGTCACAGGCCTACGTGCAAACATCAGCCCATACCAGAATTCAGTTTGTGTTTGTGGCAAACCCATTTATTTCTATACATCCATTCATTCATTTTTCTAACTGCTTATCTGAATCATGATCATGAGTAATGACGGCCAGCAATAACTCACAGCTGTGGGAGAGTAAACTTTGTAGATCCCATCAAAACCCCTCTAACTATATTTTTCCCCATGGACCATGTTTACCAAGAAAGTCTTTCCGAGCTAGATCATGGATAAGGGAAGGCTGGGAAACAATATAAGCTAGCATCGACAATAAGATGGTATGCACAGACACAGCAGTGCTAACAATGTCCGTGCAGACATGCAACAACAACTGCTGGTGAACAGCATAAAATCAAGAACTTTTAGTATATGAAGAAATAAATTAAAAGTATTGGTTG